GGTTAATTATGGCGTATTTAGGAGAAACTGGTTTCTTATACTTTCTGGAGCAGCAGTTGTTGTCACACTTGCCGATCTAATACTGCTAGTTTTAATCTTCGTCCTCGCCATGAAAAAAAGAAAGTCACTTTCGAACGACAATGAGACCAAGAAGAAACCGCCACAGAAGGACTCATCGCCTGTACCAGAATATCCATTCCCAGAGTTTACCCATATGGCATCTTCTAGCGTCTCGGCTTCGGAAAGGCTTAGTGATGCAGATGGAGTGAAGAGAATAGATGAAGTCATACGAATGCAGGAAGAAGAAGAAAGGAGACAATAGGTTGACAAAAGATAGATCTATTGCAGTTTTACCATAACCAAAAATCTGATTAGTAAGCAAAATTCACTTCAAAATAATATTTCTATAACATTTAGTTTCATGCTGAGTAAAAGTTATTGAAGGATTTCTAAAAGCTTCAGCATGCATATAAAAAAGAACTTACCGCTGATACAGCAGCCAAAGTATATTCTTGCAAACTGCCAAAAGATGGATATTTAGTTGAAGTGACTCAACTTTGGACACAAATATAATTCCTATCCAAAAGGCGAAGTATAGTGACAACTGCAACTCGATGCTCAAACGTTTCTATAAAAATTATGGACAATTATCCTCAGTCGAAATGGCTTGATGAACATGTACAAAAATGTTCGGATATTGTTCGGATATTTAACATTGAATATTGGAATTTTAGGAGCAATCCTTCTCGAAGAGGTATGCACTAGCTTTTGGCAGAAAAAAAACGATCTCAATTTTTTTCAAAAAAAACTTGAGAAAATCCACAACAGAGTCGGAAACAGCTTTGCTGTATCTACCTAATGTATTCCTACTGCTATCATGACTAACTATCTTTCCCTTGTGAGAATTTACTACATTATTGAATTAACTTTGGGCACAAATATAAATCCTAGATGAAACAGAGATCAAAGTTATACATGTTCAATAAACTAGGTTGGTTTTGCACGCATTACAGCATTCAGACCGAGAAACGATGGTTTGTAAAGATGGCTATCAACTAGCAGCATTAAATGAGGAATAACACGTTATCCTTATGTATCTACCACAAAAATGTGTTAGCTACATGAGAAAAAGAACGAGTAACTGGGCCAATACCGTACCGGTGCTACCTAGGTCTATGGACGAAGTTTCATACAGGATTGCGTTTGGACTTACCAAGCCACACGCCAGCAATAATTGTTCCATGAAAATGCGAAAAGAGCGGCTTCTCGATGCGTAATTAGATCGAGCAGAAATCGAAATCTCTTGCTGTAGACTGCTTTATGTTTCTTCACGATTTGTTGGCTGAGCAAAATTGCAAGTATTTGCTGTTGATTGATGTAGTCGATCTTCAACTTTATTCTAACGTAAAAAAGCATTTTTTTTCCTCTATATGCAAAACTGAGGTACTGTTCTTATACACAGGGGGTAAAAGAGGAAAGGTGCTAAGATATCCACACCTCACCTCCATCACAGAACAAACTTCAGATAGATACACTAAACACATTAGTCATAGAAAGTTGTAGAGCCCACGTAACTATACAGGCTTTACAATTTAGTCAAGGAGTTCTTATCATCCTACACAGTCAGCCTAAGTGATCAATGACTTACTGCTGGAATCGGTTGGGGATGTTGCGAACGGGCACAACAGGTGACTTCTTTGAAAACATTGGTTACCCTACCTTTTAAAAGAAAATCGTCGGCATGACTAATGGATGAAAGAGATGACCCAGAAGGCCGTTCAAAGGGAATACGCTAAAGGTGACACAGAAGTGTACTAAATCGTCCTTCTTCTCTGTTTATTTGTTTCTAAAGGGCTAGGCACGAACATTCAAAGGCTCTTCTACTGCTTCTTCCCTCAATGCAGATCAAGCTTCTTCTGCTGCTTCCTTACTTTTGGCCACAACGTTGTGTAACTTGAGCGTGACCAACCTTATGCGTCATCCATCCTTCCGTAAACTCAGTACATCCGAGCGTACTGAAAAGTTGCGTCCCGCAACCTTCACCTTTGCCGTCCATATCATATCTAAAGAATCAAGCTGCAGAAGCTTGCGCGAATATTGAACTGCCTACGCAAATTGCGCTTTATAGGTTGTATGATTAGTCTATTGGAATGCTACTTCAAAATTGCCCAGGTGAGAGAGCCGCTTTAATAGTGCTCACTAGTGGATGGATTTTTTGTGATGTATAAAATATTGCATAGACATAATAATGAAAGATACAGAATTTGAAATTTTTCTTAGGAGAGCATAATATGAACGAGAAAAAAACTTTCAATTACTCAAAACCTTGTCCACATAAGGCATCAGTGAATATGCCGTTGTTGCCTACTCATATTACACTAAGGAAGCTAAGAGTACTGACCTGCCTGAGAGAGCAGCGCATTCTTTTATAAAGTTTAATAATAAGCAACCATTATTAAATTTTCAAATCTTATAAGGGTAAGAGAAGGACGAGGTAGAGCGACCAGCCACTTCACGTCTAGGCACGTGGTACACGCTGTAGTCTTCCTATCTATGGCATTCAGCAACATATGCCCCTTTTTTTTACCCCAGGATGTACTGAGTTTCAAAGAAGATGGGTGACACATAAGGTGGGTCGCGATCAAGTTACACAGCATGACTGTGGCAGAAGCAAAAAAGGAGCGAAAGAAAATTGAATTTGCTACACCGAAGGAAGAAGCAACGGAAATGCCCTCGAGAGTTCACTTAATTTGGCCCTTTATAAACCCAAATAAACAGCAAGGACTCTTAGTGTACTTCTCGTGCACCTCGTCTTCAGCCGTTGCCCTTCCCCTTTACGGCCTTCTGGGGAGGTATTGTAACCAATGTTTTCTAAGAAGCACCTGTTGGACCCGCTTGCAACGTCCCCAACCGATTCCGACAGAAAGTCATTGAACATTTAGAGGCTGACCTTTGATCACTCATTAAACAGAGAATTCACGCTGCATGCTAATTTGTTGAAATGAGTTTGGAGAAGTGAACTAAATTAGTTGTAAAAACCTGTAAAGTGTCTCTAAAACATATTACTGAATTCTGAATGCAAGTTTACATGAAAAATAAATTTGACTAAAAAGTATTCGTAAGATATTTTATTCGTATGTTTAAAAATTATTATATTTGAGGTTTTTGAATTTTCAAAATTTCGAATATTGAAAAATATTGGTTTTTGGATGTTCGAACATTGGAATTCGAAAAATGGTGATTTTTTTGCCGAATTATTCATATATTCGAATATTCGAATTTTTCTAGGATTCAAGTATACTGTATATATTGTAGCATCAAACAGAGAAACAGCTTGTCACGACAAACTAGCCATTAAGAGTATGTCGAGTAGCTAATTCTAAAAGGAATTGAATTCTGGCGCAATTTTAATTTTGCCTACGTCCAAACGGCTTACAGCTGATAAGCAATTGAGCCCGCGCGCGAAGCGG